AAGGAAATTCTCTTCCTTAGGGATTTGTATAATTTCTTTGTTGAAAATCGTAAACTTAACGTTGAGTCAGTATGTAGGCGCTATGAATATCTTTTTTTATGTTTTTGCAACTTAGCAACAAGTTTTATTTTAATCTGCTATTGATATAAAAACTACGATGTAGAGGATGAATTAGGAACTTGATATCAATGAAGATCAAGATAAGTTTTCAGAGTTATCTGATACTTAATCATTGGTGCTACAGCTGAAGTACAACTTCGTATGGTGTAAATTTTTATTAAACATACTTTTTTTTTTTAATCTAGAGAAAAAAAAACAATATTGACTAAGTGACATTATTTAGAAATTTATTTGAAACACCCTTATAACGCGTTTCATACGGGCATTCCATATAATGCGGGGATTAGTACAGTTCATAATTAGCTTTGTGTACCTTTGCACGTGTGTATACAGGGTATACGAGAGTAACCCTATAATGCGTTTTCCTATAACGCAGAACCAAACTACCACGTTATAGGGGGATTACTGTATCTTACTCTTAGGGTAGATATTGCGATTAACTAATCACACACTACCAATTGTTTCACCTAATCAGTTATGAATGAATGAATGACTAAATTTAGTTATTAAAGTTTGAATTTTATCAGTAACAGATGCACACTACTTTTCATTTATTTGTAATGTAATTAGAGCCCATTTTTTATTGTTTTTTGATTATGGTTTTTAGTTTGTAGTAGCACAAATCAGTTCTATACGTTTATCATATCAGAAACTGACATCATCGTTAAAATTAAAAAAGGAGGCCAATACAAAAAACAAAAAATCGTACGATAAAAAGTTTCACAGAATTGTAAAATTTTTGTTAAGTGGAGAATCATAATTAAATATAAGATACATATAGATTATGATAGACAAGTAGGACTTGACACCGACTTGACAAGTTTAAAGTTGTAGACCTGACAGCTGGAGTGTTACATTTATATATAAACTATTAAAACAACAAATAATTTTGAGGCCCATTAACGATAGAGCGTTTTTAACTAGTAAAGCAATAACTGGAGATTTATTTGTGATGAAATATAAACTCAACTGGTACTTTGTTGGTACTATATCGATTATTAGAAAGTATTAAAATTTGAGCAGATGTACATGTCTTGTTTGTAAATGATCAAAGATTTATAAAATATGCAGAAATTTATCTGAATATGCCGGAATATATTATTATGTTGAAGCTGTTTTGAGCCAGCGCACTGAAACACTTTTACTCTTTTTTAACTCGAGGTATTTTCAAAACCACTCTTTACACCTTGACTAGCAATAATTGATCTGAGATCTCCATATCTCCCCGACGAGCCTGTAACCATTTTGAGGTTTGATAATGTACATATATTCTTTGTAACTGATCAAAAATATACAACATATCTAGAAGTAGTTTAGATATTATATACTGACCCGTAAACTTGAAATATTTTAAATTAGTTTTTATGTGTTAAGTTAACTAAAAACGAAAAACTTGTCGATTTCTGAAGACACAAACTTAGTTAGAATATATAAAGATCAATACTGAAAGACAAAACTGGAGAATAAAATTGTATCTTTTTGTTGACAGTATATGCTTAATATAGAGGATATTATTTATTATTTTTATATTATGGTTAGATTTTATATTACTGTTAGATTTTTCTGAAAATAATTTCGTTTATCGATAGATATATTACACGCGACCCTGTATATTAAATTGCACATATTGTGGAACTAAAAAGAGGTTCTCGCTAATTGTAGAATAACGCTCTTAACTACCTACCTATAATAACAATATTACCATACGTAGTATATGTGACCTTAGGCTTATGAAGACAATAATGGATACCTGTTTATTATATCAAATAAGGTATTAAATATATCATTGTATATAGTAACAATGATATATTGTTACTTATTGATATATATTTTAAGTTGTATATAGTTCCTTTAAGCAAGTTTTTGTATTTTCTTTGATAGATATAGAACGAATTTACTATTAATTTTTTTAGAAAGAATGGTATTTATTTTTGCAACTAAGTTGTTAATAAAACACTTTAAGTATAACATTTCAAATCTGATTAAAATTAAATTAATTTTTACACATTTTTTTATATATTTTATAGTAGCTTGTTTACTGATCTCTTCTATAGAAAAATACATAATTATTTATAAGTATTGAGTAAGAGCAAAAGAGACAAGTAGTGATTTAAATGTTAAATTCTTTGTACCCACCTACAAAGCATATATTGTATTTCCCAAAAGTTTTACATTTTTTTATAAAATTATTTTTAAATGTGAGAAAAGTATAGTAAATAGATAAATATTTGCACATGTTTTTATATATATGTGTAAAATTCAAAAGGAATTTTTCATCAATCCAAAGTTTTCTTCTCAATTCTTGGCACAACTACTGACCATTTAAGCTTCATTAAAATGAACTGTAATTGCTCACTTTCATTATAAAATTTGCTCGTTAATGTTTGTAATAAATATCAAATAAACATTAATACTAGCAGATAATAATAAAAATAATAAAAACAAAAAAAAAAAAAAAATAATGAAAATGAAAATGTATAACAGCAACAAACATGCTTAAAAGTATCTCAAAATATTGAATAGCGTCGTCACAACTACTTTTTATTGTTGACATTTTTTATGCTGTAAATGCATAAATCAACTGCAAACTGTTTGCATTTGTATGGGGGTAAGGCGAATCAAATCACATCGCAGATACAACCAACAACAACGTGTGGAAAAACATTACTCGTACTACTCGTACGAGTATATGAACTTTTAATTGAAAAACTAAACAAACAGAAATACAAAATATAATAATAATATTTACCACTGAACTGATTTAATGCCGCTAAACTAAATAAACAAATTCGAATTAAAATGCAACTCAAAACACAAGAAGATAACACCGCGCAAACAATTGCGCCAAGCGAAGCGGCCAGATAATGAGTATTAGAACGTTAGAATTCTATGTTTAAGTAAATACCGCTGTGTGTGCTCTGCCAGGGTATTAAATTCGAATGTTAACATTTTTATTACTAATACATTGTTGATAGTTGACTGTTGATCGTTGACTGTTGAATGTTGATAGAAAAACATACCTATTTACAAAGTATGTAGAAAATATTTCTTCCCAATCATATTAACGGCCTTCGAATTGACAAATGACGAACGCCGGCTGCACTCGTCAGCAAGAATCAAGCCAGAGCAGAACAACAGCAGTAGCGGTGCGAATATCTTAACAATTGATTTTGCGGTGTTGTAGCCGAGGCAATCTCGAAGATAGACATAGACGACGACAAACAGCAGTAGCTACAGATCGAGAGATACACCTCAAAGTTAATATGTGCACGAACGCCAAACATACAAACACACAAACAAACATACATGACTGATAAATATAATAGACTGGCATTCTTACAAAGCTACGCTACGTCGCTGCTTTTGCTGCTCTTGCTGAACGCTGCTGTAGCCACTGCTTGCTGCCCTGCCAGTGCAAATAATTTATATGCCAGTATGTGGTGTGCATTTTAGATAAAATGTGTGTTTAGGGCATATCGCAGATACTATAGATTTATATGAACTACTATATACATATGTATGTGTAGTAGTATTTGCACTTATGAGCATAGATACCATATTAAGATTAATTTAGGTAAATAAAGGTGTTTTACAACAACAATACTGCATTTATAAATCATTCGGTATTCAATACAATTGTTGTTAATACACAAAGAAGATATCGCGACATGACTAGAAGACAGGACTTGCATTTAAATCGGTTTTTAATATTTGCAAAGGTTTATCAAATAGCAGAAATGCATGTTATGCAGTTTTGCGTACTTAATTAGTTTTCGCAAAAGGCAATTAGTTGCAAAAGTTTACACATTTCTATTAATAGTGTACATATTCTGCAATATATTGATGTCCATTAGTCATTTTGTATTATAAAGTATTCCATGAATATCAAAATATCAGTTGGGTTCAGATATTATATATGTAAAAATACCATATGGTACTAGTATATACAATATGTGTATGCTGTATCGTACATACATATATAGATTTGTATATACATGTTCGTTAAGTTTATATAGTTTAATTTGCTATTAAATTAGCTATTACAGTGTGTTGTTGCTATTAACCATAGTAAGTAAGGAGAGAAGAGCGAAATTTGACAAATGGCACAGATGAATAGTTAAGGAACGTGAGATTGAACGCATTTAATAAGTAGAAAACGATAAATAAGCAAACTATTTCAGCTTAAAATATAAGGTTTGCTAAGCATTTAATACGGTATAAACTATAAATAAGCAAACTATTTCAGTTAAATAAACCTTATTTTGTTATGCTATCATATAAACCTAGTGATCCTTTCTAGGATCCTTTCTTTACTAGAGAAAAGTTTTAATAGATTAGATTTATAGAACTCAGTAACCTTTCTGCAATAGAAGCAGTAATGTTCGTAAACTGAAGCAATGTTTTAATAGATAAGGTTTGCTAAGCCCTGTAAAACTTTCTAATTGGTCAAATAATGAAGAAAGATTTTAATCGACTGTGTTTTAATCACTACACCATATTGAATAATCCAATGAAAACATATACATACATATATAAGACTGCTAAAGCAGTATTTTTTAACGCAAAAGGTAAGGAGTTTTAGCAACCCAATAACAATTTGAACCAAAAAACTACTATGCCATTTTAATTAAACGAACAATGTCTGCAAGATCTAGATTCGTAATAAAGGAAATGCAGTAAGATTAAGCAAAAATTTAAGATTGGAACACCAATTTCTTTTCAATTATGCATTATCCATAAATAAAAGATATATACCTTAGGTTTAGAAATACAAACATATTGTATTACTTAGTAAGAAAGTTAAGTTAATTATAACTAATACGAGTGCAAAATATTTTAAGGTTTTTTACAACAAATAGTAATTCTAAAAATATTCTTACCTTCGCCGTCAGTGGTTAATGAATCCGGAATTCGTACACATAATTCGGACTGCATTTTTATGTTGGACGCAGTACTGCCAGTGCTGCCTGTGCTTGTGTTGTAGAAGTTTTTTCCGTTTTGTGAATTTTCGTCTGCAACACAATCTGTAAGTATAAAAAGTAATTTTATAATTAATATTCAAGATTTAAGAAAAATAAATATATATATACATATACCATATATATAGGGAAGATATAACTATAGATATAAAATAATACAACTAATCTTTAATCTTCAAATCTTTAACGAAGAGCAAGTTGCTTCTCAGGAGAAAGTGATGTATTTAATAAGGTTGATCAAAAAAAATAATTATTATATTATAGTATTATTTAAATAAGTTAGAAATGCACAGATATATGACAATGCAGCTGTGAAACACTTTATTTATCGTTCTTTATTTATCGTTCACAGCTTTAATAAGAATCTTGATGGAGATATATAATTTTGGGGCTCTCATCTCTATGAGATTACGAGACGTTTTTCAATTCAGGAAGAAACTACTTGTTGTTGTTAAACCCACTGATCTCATATTCAAATATTTCAAATGTTGTGGATCTGTTCCTAGTTCGACTAGCGCATACGTTTTGCAATTGTTTGCGATTATCCTATGACTAAAAACTCAGGAAAAGGAAGTGTTAAATTGTGTAAACATCTGCTCTTCAGAGAAGTATAACAATAAACTAGAAAGTAGTTAAGGGTCTTGAAAAATCTGATATAGTATTTCTGAGTTATGTTGTCAGTTAAACTATTAAAGTATATGATTGTGAAGTGTTCTTATATGTAACTATTGGGCGTTACATATAATATAAACTGTAAAATAGTTTTATATTTTATGATTCAAATGTTAAGAAAAGGTAATTATAATTCACAAAATAATGAAATATTAATTTATTTTTGCGTACCTTATTCAAACAGTTCATAAAAAATTATATCGTTTAGTAGATCTATGTATGAAAACTTGTTTCTTTGTTGAGCTGTTTTACAAATCACCATATGACTATAATAGCAATATTGATTTTAATCTACATTTAAATTTTTCGAGATTTTTAAAATTTGTTTATTTTTTTTTTTGTTGTATCTGAAATATTCCCATAACAAATGTATCTTAACAAGTGCATTTGTGCACACGCCAAAATCTATTTACAGTATAAATTAATTTATTTTGCAATGCAAATTGTTTGACGCATTTTTAAGTTTTTGCGTGCATATTTTCAAGACCCAACGGAGAGCTATGAGTAAGTGAGGGTGATTATAGACGTACAAGTAGTTTAAAAAAATATATGTATGTACTATATGTTCCTATAAAAAAAAAATAATGACAGAAAGAAATTTATCGGTGAAAATTGCCATGAGAAGGCAGACAACATAAACCATGTAAGAAGGACGTCTGCAACTGTGACTGCAATAATTGTGCGAATTTTTTCCCAACTAATCAATATAAAATATCTCGGCGCCATTTCAAACCGACGATGTACGCTGCTGGCCCCTATCAGTATCTGGGCTGTCAGCAGCAGCTGTTTGATTGCTTATACGAGAAATCGGCGCCAGAATTCTTTCTTTCATTCTTTTTAAAAATGAATTATACGAAGTGAATCTTGGTTAGTTTATTTAAATTTATGTCTAAATTCTTATTTACATAAAAATTGCTTCTTATCTGACAAAAATATATTTATATATGTATATTTTTTTGATTTTTTATTTACATATTTAAATATTTAGGGATTAATTTTTGTTTGTAGATTTCTTATTTCAACATGAAGAAGAAGATATCATTTAACATTGTTTACAATTTAATTATTAAATAAGGTAGAGTAAAATACATATTTGCAACTATATTAAGAAAATATTTTCATAAGAAAAATTTAAATAAAAAAATATTAAAAACTATTTTTATAAAAAATTTTTACCTTGTGGGTTCAGTCTCTCCAGTAATTGTTGAGGTTGGTAAGGTGGTGGCGCGGTTTCTGGAATTATAAATTTGAATTTAAATTATTTATTTAATTTTATATATTAAATAAAAGATAAGTAAGAAAAATAATTCTGGGTAATATCACATTATCTTATATGTTGTGATGTGATATATTTTGAAAGTAAAAATAATGTTAATATGTTGAGTAAGAAGGTCATAGGTCTTAATATAAGATCCTATCAAAAGTATAAATCCCAAAATAAAATCTGAAAATGAACTTAGTCATATTATAATATTGTACTAATGGTATATATATGTATGTTTGTTTGAACATACATGCAAATAAAGTTGCCACTTAATGTTACATTTTTATTGTAAATTTGAAACAATAAATTTTAAATAATTAAGCTATTTAAAATTAGCATAATATACTATAGCAAATAAAAAACAACTACCAAATATCATAAATCGAGTTCACGAACAGAAATAAGTGTAGGTTTTTGACGTTATAAACGTATTTAAATTTAAATTGTTGGCCAATGAAATTTGTATCTTTTTAAATAAATATAGGAAGGAAATAGTTATAAAAATATATTTTTATTGTTATTTTTATGAATGAAAAATATTAATGAAATATTTGTTATGTGTCGTCTCAGTATAAAAATATAAATAAAACTTAATGATTATTACTTTTGTTAAGTTCATAATAAAAGAAACCAATTCATAATACGCAAACATACATCAATATCTTTTAAATACATTTGTATATAAATTTGTAGTAAGATTTCGGTGTTTCGGTTAATATTTAAGATTTTTAAAAAAATTTCATTCAATTTTTGAAAGCCGCCTTATTTGGCGAATTAAATCTTATATGGATTTTTAATTTGATTTTAGGCCTAATTTTTCACGCGTACGAACTATGTATCTTATAGCTAATAAAGTCTGATAGAGAATTTTGTTTTGTATATAATTATAATAAAATAATATAAAGCTAAAAAAAAAAAACTAAAACAGATTTTAAAAACAAGTAAATAAATAACAAAGTCTATATAAAAAAAAAATTATTTTATTTAAATAGCGAAAAACAAAAGCGCGTACTTGTCATGTGACAAGTATGAGTATCTCAAGATTAATAGCCACCGAAAGAGCAGCTGCCGCCTGTTTCTAGTAGCGTTTCAGCGTTTCTTACCCCGTCACCATTGGCTTTTCTGTATTCAGTTGTTTTTATTTTATTGTCTGATACAAATGGAATTTGAATTTGTCTTCATTGGAACATAAACTTTATTACACATCTCATTTGAATTAATGTCATTTTGATATTTTAATCCATTAGAAAGGTGTGCCACAATATTTAAGCTTTTAAGTTTTTTTCTACCTTTTTTAATTACATATCCGATATACCAATCAGTGATTTCGCTCTATCGCCTCACCTCACTGTATATAGTCATAGAGTTACTGACTTACTGAGTTACATATAAATGTGGCATGCGAATCGATATAAAATTTAATTTGTAAATAATAAAAAAATTAATTTTCAATATATGTATTTCTTTGACTTTTAATACTCTTTTTTAATTTAAAGGCTGATTTCGTGGAATTCAGGAATTAAACCTGAAATATAAATATATATAAGGTATCCAATTTCAACTTTTTAAGAGTACTACTTACGCCTGGATACAAAATTGATTTAAATAAGTAGTGTTTTATATAATAATGGAAATTTTCTACGACCTTTGGATTTTTAAGCTTAAGACTTTTAGTAAGAAAATAACGCAAAATTTAAAAACTTATAGAGTAGAGATTTAAAGAGTTAACTACTAATGCAAGAATACGGGCATTAACAACTAACCCATAAAACTGCCACTACACATAAATAAAATAAATGGTCTGACCTCTCACTAGAGCGAAGCTTTGTGATATTAGTGGGTGTTTTTTTATATTAACAACATGGCATTTACCAAACAGAAGATATGCAGACTTCTTCGGATGAAAGCCAGAAATTATGTCTTTCAGAAAGGATTTTCTAATACTAAAATACTTAGTAGCTCGCGACAATGGCGTAACTACATTTTTTAGGCCTGTAAGCAAATTCTAACTAAGGGGCCCCCTATCAACATACTAAGGAGCCCCTCTTTTTATACTCTTTACACGAAAAATGTGAAAAGGGTATATAAGGTTTGTCAAGATTTTCGTAACGCATTAAAGGAAACGTCGGAAATACCATTAAGTATATATCAGTACAGTATATATATACTTTTTCAGTTCAAACTACTCTCTCAGCTTTTGAACTCTTCGAATGAAACTTTACACACATACTTTTAGCCGACCCTGTTCACCATTTGATTTGATTGAAATCTGACGTCTATTTCTTGTAGCTGTGATATAAACTTAACAATCGGATATGAGGTTTCTCCGTTTTTAATAAAGGTATTTAAATAGAATTTGGTGTATACAGTACTGATATTTGCAAAAGACAACGTACAAAATTATTTTCAAATGGGTTTAAATCTAGATATAGCTTCCATATAAACTCTCAATTACGACACATACTTTTCTTAGAAAAACTTTTTTATTTTATAAATAGGTTTAATATTTTATTTGAAGTACATACATATTATGTACTTTAAATTTAAAATTTACGTGTCTTTTATAAAATGCAATATGAAGTTATTCCAATAAAAAAACGTTTACAAACATTTATAGTGGGGCCCCCTAAATTCGGGGGCCCGAAAGCGTTGCTTCCAGTTGCTTCCCTGTAGTTACGCCACTGGCTCGCGACAAAGTATTTTCGGACAAAGATCAAAATCGGATTGTCGAAAAAGATAGAGCAGTTTCATTCCATTCCAGCCAGAGCAGATATACCTTCAATTTAGGCAACCATCTTATTTTCATAACGCAGTATAGATCTATAATCAGGAAACATCAACATCTATTAATGACAATTACAATGCAGTTATATCTAAATTTTACATTAAACATACTTAAGGAAAAAGATATATAGAGCAAATTAGTTTGAGTGGAGCATAAAATATACATATTTATAAATAAAAATATAGATTTCTTTAATACATCAAAATGAAATACCATCTACACAAAAAATCAGAATATTTTCTATTTATAATTATAATATTAATATCAGCTTAAACGTACTAGCATATAAAAGATATATATTTAAGAAAAACTTAATTAAATGAAATACTAAAAAATCTGTTTTTAATATGTGAGAGAAGGACAAATAGAATCGAGAAAGAGAATCTTTTCTCTCACAGATATTCTTATATTTTATTACAATGGACGATATTTACCTTGCACACTTTAAAGTTATAGTAAAATTTGTTATAAAGGAAGGGTTAATTAAAGATATATGAAATGGAAATAGCACAAGAAGAGATGGATAGATGCACCTTGAAGAAAACAAATTGAATAAAGGAAACAAATTTTTCTGTTATAAAATATATATTCAACCACATGATGCAAAAACCTTTCATTTGATGAGAATAAATGAAACAAATTTGTATGTGAAGTGTAGTTGTATTGTGAAACCATAAGGATAACAAAAAATTATCTTAGATTTGATAAAGTAGTAAACTATGGGCTGAAAATTATGTAGTCCTTTGTGAAATTAAGCATCAGACAATAAATAAGGACAAAAATTTGTACTATATGGAATATAATAAAATATACAAAATGAATCAGTTGCTAAACTTTAAAATAAAAGAACTATAGATGGTCATGCTTACAGTGGTGCATAGAGATCGATTTATATCCTTAAAAAAAAAATGTTGTTGTTGTTGAAATATATGCTAAATAATTATTTACTTTAATTAAAATTTAAAGAGCTCTTTGATAAAGAACTTAAATATAAAAATGTATACAAGTGCTGTATGTGAATTAGAAATAAATTTTATTAAATAAAAATACTGTCCGGATAGATTGTTTATTATATTTATACGCTTATATTGGTATATCAAGCAAACAGCACTTTGGGAAGAGCTAAGAGCTATTCAAGATTAATATAAGATGAGATCATACAGCACAAAAATAGTAAAATCGAATTTTATAAGCGTTCACAGTGAACAGAACTGAAGCTACATATGATCATTACTACGACAACGAAGTCATAACGCCATGCCGCGCTATATGTTTATGGATCATATGAACGAACAGCAGCGGCGGCGCTGTGAGTTGCCTCAAGTGAAACAAAACTGATCGGGACTGCGCGAGCGGCACAAGTCACTTATTTATTTGTTTATTTATTGAATATATATTTTTTTTAATTTTTTCTTTTTTTTTTTTTTTGATGATCCGGCGCAGATAAAGTAGAACTCGAAAAACTTGATTTCATTTCGAATGATGATTCTTTACATATAAAATGTATTTATGATTTTTATGATTTTCTAAAACAAAAAAAACAAATTTTGTGTCAATAACTGTAATAATTGTACAATATATTTACTTAAGATTAGTTAAGAATAGTTAATTAAATGATAGTAATTATGTTGTTTATATATGAAGTGACTACTAAGTTGAAGTCATTTATTT